GGCCTGGGTTCGATCCTCAGCACCACATACCAACAAAGATGTTGTGTCTGCCGAGAACTAAAAAAAAAATAATAATAAATATTAAAAAAAAAATTCTCTCTCTCTCTCTCTCCTCTCTCTCTCTTTAAAAAAAATATTATAAATGTACAAACATCTTTAATAGAATGTGGAGCTGCTTTTACCAGCAAACTTGAAGGAATGTTTAAAGACATGGAACTTTCTAAAGACATCATGATTCAGTTCAAACAGGTAAAAGTGAGTTAAACTCTTACTTTATTCCTCAAACTTGAATACATGTAGTTATTTCCTTGTGGCAGTTTGTACTAAAGGGAATAAATAGAAACAAATTTCTTATAAGTACTTTATAGAAACTTAAATTATATTCACAGTAGAGGAAAAAAGATCACCAATGAAATGTAAGTATATTTGACCTACTTTAGGATTTATTCTTAATAAATTCCCAAGATAACACAAAAATAGAAATAAAATGTGTTGAACTGAGTCAGCACAAGAAAATTGTGGTTATTCAGTGGAAACGGGGCTTTCCTAAGCGTCTAATCGCTTCATGATTTGCATGTTCAGAACTCAACAGTGGGGTTGGGGGAAGAGGTGATAAAGTGGTTGTATAAAACTTTTGGGGACCTCAACAATGAAAAGGTAGATCTATAGTTTTGAAGATGTAGGTTGAAAGTTTTTTTTTTAATATTTAATAACATAGTCTGGCATAGTGTAGTGCATACCTATAGTACCAGCCATTGGAGGGTAAGGCGGGAAGCTTACTCAAACCCAGAAATTGGAGACCATCCTGGGTAACATAGCAAGACCCCATCTCAAATAACAACAGCATAGGTGATAGTGATGACAAGTTAGATTTGCTTCTCTTAGGGTTTTAGTAATAACTTATTTACCATTATATTGATAAAGGTGGAAAAGAAAGCAAAAGATCAAAGCGAAAGATCAGGGATAATAGAATCTGTATCCTTTAACAGCTACAAAGTAGGGTTTATCTGCTTTGCCCTTTCCCCCCTCTTCTTCCTTTCTAACTTCAGGTCATCCCCTGCAAAAAGGCAGTGGAGCAAGTGAAAAACCGGAGACTTGGGCTGGCTGGTGGGGTGAGGAATGGGGGTTGCTACAAGGTGTTCCAAACCACATAGGGGTCTCCAAAGGTGGGGACTGCTGGTGGTATTGGGGGAAAGAAAGGAGAAGAGATTCTAAGCCCAGCTTTATGTGAAAAATTATTTGAGTTAATGATGCCTAAAACAATGGTCTTGGATTCTTGTATGCCAATGTGTTGAGATATTAACTTATGCACCTTTCCAGTGCATTTTGTGTAGGCTTCATTTAAAGTTCTCTTAATAGTTGCCCTTTATTTTCAGAATGGTCAATATTTGCATGTATATTTGTAATGAGGAACTTCTTAAATGAGTCATTATTGTGACATAAAATGTATGCACTTATATTTTAAGATCTCAGTGTATGTGTTGATCTTATTATAGTATATGCAGAATCAGAATGTACCTGGGAATATTGAATTAACTGTGAATATCCTGACAATGGGTTATTGGCCAACATATGTGCCTATGGAAGTCCATTTGCCACCGGAGGTAAGATTTACTATTTATGACCTGAGTTTAGGCACAGTAATCATGATACTTTTGTTTGTTATTTTAAAGTAGATGCTTTGTAGGGGCTGGGGTTGTGGCTCAGTGGTAGAGTGCTCGCCTAGCACGTGTGAGGCCATGGGTTTGATCCTCAGCACCACATAAAAGTAAATAAACAAAATAAATGTATAAAAAGAAAAAAATAAATATAAATAAATAAAGTAGATGCTTTGTAAAAGCCTATGTCAGTAAACACACCAACAACAAATGCCAAGTCTTTTAATATTCTTGTATATCTATTTCAAAATCTAGTTTAGCACTTAGCTAATGATGTTGGGTTTCCAGATTGAGGGCTAATTGCTTTGACTATCATTTCCCCAGATTATATCCCTCACTTCCTAGCTGTCAAAAAATCTTGTCCAGGGGCTGGGGTATAGCTCAGTTGGTAGAGTGCTTGTCTCACAAGCACAAATCCCTAGGTTCAGTCCGCAGCACTACAAAAGAAAAAAAAGAAAAATTCTTGTCCATTTTTCACCTGCAGGCAGGATTACTGAATTGATGGCTGCTTGAATAAATCCATCCTAACTCCTGGGAAAAATGTCTAACTCAGGAATGAAACCTAGAAGATGGGTTAAAGCTAGAAAGGGAGATATTTAGAATTCTCCATAGAGATAATTATGGAAGAGAGTAGATTTCCCTCAGTAACAGGGAGAATATGGAGAAGAGGAAAAAAAGTGTAGAGGCAGAGCTTTAGAAAAAGCTTTAGAAAAGACTTAACATTTGACAGATGGTAGGAAGAGGTAAGAAAGAAAACCTGTCAGTAAACACACTTGGCAATTGTTGTTGGTGTGTTTACTGACATAGGCTTTTAAGAGCAGAAGCAACAGTGGTAAAGGAATCAGCATAGTGTGGAGACACAAAGCTACTGGTGATAAATGTATCATAAGAGTGGATGATTAAATGGTACAGAGAGATTAAAGAGTAAGAAGGCTGGCAAGTGCATTAGATCTGGTGGTTGGGAGATAATTACTGTACATCAAAGTGATTGGTAGACCCTACTGGATATAGTGTTTAAAACTTCAGAAATTCTTACATATGAGGTAAGTATAAAGAGTGATGAATGTGGTATTAGGTACAGAGCTTAAATGAAGCCTTATTTTATTTACTTTAGATGGTAAAACTTCAGGAAATTTTCAAGACATTTTACCTAGGCAAACATAGTGGCAGGAAACTTCAGTGGCAATCAACCCTAGGACACTGTGTGCTAAAAGCAGAATTTAAAGAGGTAAGTACATGTTCCCAAAACTTAAGTTTCCATTTTTATCTTCAGTATGGAGGTCATCCTTCTTCTAGTATTGTTGTATAAAGGCATCCTAGTCATCTGCTTGACAGCAGTTATTACTACGGTTGTGTGTATATTTTAAGATTGTGATCTTTTTCACAATTGATTTGGTTCTTCTTCAAAAATCAAAAACAATAATTTTCCCCCCACCCTTTCCCACCTGTGGATGAAGAATTCACATTGTGACTTCTTGACTGAAATCTTCCTATTGGCCAGAGCTAAAGAATAGAATAGGAGTTTAGGGGAGCAGTTCATGTATCTAAATTTCAAAAAACTTGCTGGGCGAGGTGGCACACATGGATCACCAGTTCAAAGACAGCCTCAGCAAAAGCAAGGTGCTAAGCAACTTAGTGAGACCCTGTCTCTAAATAAAATTCAAAAAAGCTCTAGGGATATGGCTCAGTGGTCGAGTGCCCCTGAATTCAATCCCTGGTACCAAAAAAAAAAAAAATATATACATACACTCCCATAGTCCTGCAGCTTTTTAAAATTAATCCGAATCAAACAAGTCAAAAAATGCATTTGAAATAGTGATGTGTTACTGCTTGTGATGAATGTCTGTAAGGACAAATGGGCTGAGTTATTAATTTTCATTACTTTGCTATTCTATTTTAATTATAAGGCTTAAACTGTTAAGAGATTAACTAATCCTTCCCCTTATTTTAGGAAGGATCATACCTAAACCCTACACTGAACATACTGTATTACCACCTCAAGTGGTTTTTCTGAATAATGTTAATCCGTTTCTAAACCCACTAATTGAAAAATGCTTTTCCTATGAGAGATTTTTAGTTTGATTAATATTTTATGTTTTTTTTTTTAAATTGTGGTTAAACATTGCTGTTTTTCCAACAGGGTAAAAAAGAACTCCAGGTCTCTCTTTTTCAAACACTGGTGCTGCTAATGTTTAATGAGGGAGAGGAGTTCAGTTTAGAAGAGATCAAGCAAGCTACTGGAATAGGTTTGTATTGAACCAGTTGTTTAGCAAGCATTATTAGGTATCCACCATGTGCATACAACTACATTAAAGTCTGTGGAGGATACAAAGGAATAATCTCTCTCTTCCATACTCTTAATGTAACCATGGGGAAAGAGAGAAAAGACATTTGAAATAATTTCAAAACAAAGCCCAGCATGGTGGCTCATGCCTATAATCCCATTGTTTTGGAGGCTGAAGCAGGAGGATCAGGAGTTCAAAGCCAGCCTCAGCAAAAGTGAGGCGCTAGCTAAGCAACTCAGTGAAACCCTGTCTCTAAATAAAAAACAAAATAGGGCTGGGGATGTGGCTCAGTGGTCAAGTAACCCTGAGTTCAGTCCCCACTACCACCCACCCCAAAAACAAACAAACAAAAACAAGAGATAACTTGAGACTGGCACGGTTGAGAAAGCCCTCATGAAGGAAGTAGAACTTGAGCTGGATCTTTAAGTTTTGGTCAGTGAGAAGGCATATGAGGCAAGGGGAAATTGTGTGAAAAAACTTGGTACTTGGGAGTGGGGACAACATGGCAGGAATCATGAAGAGTTTAATTGTAGCATAGAATAGTGAGCTACAAAATTCAATTGGTAAGATAAGGCCTGGTGAATCTAACAAATGAAATGTACATTATAGGGTCTCATGTGGGATGTAATAGAAGTAACTTACTTGGACAACTTACCTGGAATCAGTAGACAGGGGAACTTGGAGGATGAAGATATTTTAATCTAGAAGCTATTGTGATAATTCAGGCATAAAATACTAAGGGGCTTTGACTAGAATGAGGCCAGTGAGAACGGAGAAGAGGCATCTCAAAGGAAGCAGCTGTTACATGCATGGTGGAATGAAGAAGAGGAGTTAAAAGATGATTTCAGAGTTTTTCATCATAGTATGTTGGTAGTTAGTATGTTAGTGGTATCACTACTAACAGTTGGAAAGAGAATGCAGTTTTATGGGGAAAGAAGGATGTACTGGAGTTATGATAGTAAGACAGCCTGGAGAAGGTATCCTTTAAACGCAGGACTGGAGAGAAGTCAAATGTCATTTCAGATTTGGTATAGTTATCTACATGGAATGATAATTAACACCTTTAGACGATGACCAGGAAAAATACTATTAGATAGGACATGGACAAAGTATTTGGTGACCTTGGGTGGGGGGAGAAGTTTGAATAGAGGGATGTGGATGGAAGCTAGATTGAGCTTGAATGTTCATGAGGTTCATGCTGATGAGCTGATAACAGATAACTAAATTGCTGTTTCTTTAGAGGATGGAGAGTTAAGGAGAACACTGCAATCATTAGCCTGTGGCAAAGCTAGAGTTCTGGCAAAAAATCCAAAGGGCAAAGATATYGAAGATGGTGACAAGTTCATTTGTAATGATGATTTCAAACACAAACTTTTCAGGATAAAGATCAATCAAATCCAGATGAAAGAAACGGTAAACCTTTTCCTTTGCTTTCTCCTAGTCCTAATACATAAGAATTCTATATGTTCATAGTAGAAATTTACAAAGATTGTATACCTTAATACATTCTCTGTGCCAATATCTAATCTTCCATATTTGATTTGGGGTTTTCTTTTTGTCCGGGAGTATTCATGATTGGGTTGATAGCCAGTGTAGTTTTATATCCTGCTTATTTCATTTAATTTTCAACCTTGAGAACTTTTAAAAATATTTTTAGCAGTAGGTGGACATAACTTTTATTTATTTTTTATGTGGTGCTGAGGATCAAACCCAGTGCCTCCCATGTGCTAGGCAAGCATGCTACCACTGAGCCACAACCCCAGACCCAACCTTGAGAATTTTTCTATACTTATAAATATCTTCAAAAGTGACAACTGATTGCATAATATATTTTTTTTAGATTGCCATTATAATTTGTTGATTCTTTGGCACTGAAATTCATGACTTTTTTTATGTGGGGGTTGAGGGGGGTCTCACTGTGTTGCCCAGTCTGGTCTCAAATTCCAAATTCATAACTTTTTAGTATTATAAATAAATCTGCAAGAAATGTCCTTGTACCTAAAGCTTAATCTCTCTGATCTTTCCCTTATGATAAATTCATGGAAGTCAATATTTTTAGGTCAAACAATGTGAACATTTTAACAATCTTAGCAAATAATGCTATATTCCCCACTATTAAGTATAACTATAATATGCTAATAAAAACATAAAAAATAATGCCATATTGTGTTCTGTAAATTCTAGACCAATTTATTCTCTGCCCAGCAGCATAAGTGCCTGTCTTACTGTGCCCTCACTAGCACTAAAGATTATATTTTCTTTCTTTTTTTCATTCTTTCTTTATATGTGGTGCTGAGTATCAAACCCAGCGCCTCACACATGCTAGGCAAGTACAACCGCAGCTCAAGATTATATTTTCTTTTTTAAATCTTTGCCAACTTGCTTGTTGAAGAATCTTAATGATTTAGTTAATTATTTCTTTGATTAACAGTGAAGTTAGATATTTTATTTTTGCCATTTGAATTGTAAGATATTTTATTAAGGAAACCAACCACAACATCCTGAACAGGTTGGCTTCAGTTCTAACCAGGTATAATGCAATACTGGGGGAAAAGTTTTAATGTGAGACCAGGGTCAGTATCCTCAAACAAGTTCCTTTTTCACACATACATCAAAGCATGATGTTAATGTAAAAGAATACCTTGTCCTGGGGCTGGGGATGTAGCTCAGTGGCAGAGCACTTACCTAGCATGTGTGAGACAGTGGGTTCAATCCTCAGCACCACATAAAAATAAGTAAAGTAAAGGTATTGTGTCCATTTGCAACTACAAAAAAAAAAATGTTTAAAGAAAAAGATTACCTTGTCCTTACTTCCAAACCATTTATGCTGTACCAGAAATTAAACTGATGCAAAAAATTCAAATCGTTCTTTCATTTTAGGTACTAAAGGTTAACATTTTTACTTTAGTATCTGGATTGGCAAACTGACTCCTAAACACCTAAATTTGTGTAAATCTTGAAGGGATATAAGCACTAATGGAATGTATTTGAGGTTTATATATTACCAAATGAAAATTACTTTTCAAAGACTGACTTATTTTTCTTCAGTCAGAAACTGTTATACAGCTGTTTTTATACAGAAATCTGGTGAACAAGCTCTTGTACTGGTACTCATAAGTTTATCAGGAAGAGAGCAGTAAAAGAAAATGGTAACTGATAGAGCATGCTAATAATCCCACCTACTTGGGAGGCTGAGGCAGTAGAAAAGAATAATATGTTAAAATCTGCATCAGCTCTCTGTACTTCCAGAGAAAATCAATTCAAAGACAGTGTTATTCTATTTTTTTAAAAGAGAGAGTGAGAGAGAGGAGAGAGAGAGAGAGAGAATTTTTAATATTTATTTTTTAGTTCTCGGCAGACACAACATCTTTGTTGGTATGTGGTGCTGAGGATCGAAC